AAAAAATTATCGATAGAAACAAAATTAAATACGATAGATTTACCATTTTTAGTCGATAAAAAGATGATATACATATCAATTATATTTACAAGTGCTATACGAGGATAAAAAATTTAGATACCATAGATTTATCGTTTTGAGAGGTTTGATGAGAGATGAGTGATTTTCTTAATTTTATTGTCACTTACCCTTAAACAAATAGTTTTGTATGTCATTTATTTAGATATGATTAAAAGTTGATAATTTAACGATAGCTAATGGATAAAAAAAAAAAAAAAACAAAAAAAAATTATATTTTTATAAAATTGCATAATTTAATATTATTTTTTTAATAGCCCAAAAGATAAATAAATATTACTTAAAAAAAAATGGTAACTTATCCCTCTCTCCACCTATTTCTCACGTTCTCCTTACCCAAATATCTCTCTTCAAAACTTCCTCTATTAGTAATTCTCCCACCCATAAAAAGAAAAAAAAAATGGAACTTATTTTCCACCTCTCCTCTAATCACTCACAACTTATCTCCCAAAATAACTATGCCAACCAGCAATAATTCTTTTTGTAACACCCCGAGCCCAACAGGTACAATTCGCTCGATCCTTGTGAATAGCACCTTCTTAATTACTGTGAGTTTCTAGATTTCTTAGAGTGTGATTTTCAAATCAGTGTAGAAGAAAGAAATGCTCGGGATGCATCAAGGAACTTAAGAAAAAAATGGTAATGTAATCGAAATTTAGGTCAAAGTCAACCACGGAAAAAAGGTAATATTGCCCCCGCACATACCACCTTGAGGGGGTCTAGATAGACTTGGAAGAAAGGAAAAGAAAAAGAAAATAAAAGAAAAAAATAATAAAAAGAGAGAGAGAAATGAACAGTTAGGGTTTTTAAGAAGAGGAAGGAGGGAGAAACGCCCCAAACCCAAACTGAAGCACCCTCAATCTTAGGTCTCCTACTAGAGCTATTCAGAGTATCAAGAGAAGTGGTCTGAGCCTTGTATCGTTCGTTTCTGGCAAGAAACGGGCAAGAAAGCGAGGTAAGTCTGCGACCTCTCTTGTTTTAAGATTTCACCATAGATTCGAGAGTTTTAGATGATTTAAACCTTAATAATCTAGTTGCAACACTTTAGGTGAGGAGTCTTGTAAGTTTTTAGAGGAAACGAGGCCAAAAATCGCATTAGAAAACAAAATCGAGAAACCTTCCTACTTCAGTAAGAAACTAATTTTTTCTCGGTTTTCGACTTCATTTATATCTGGATAGGTAGACTTGAGATCTTGAATTCTTGTCAAGGAATCGATTTAATTCGAGATACGGTTTGGAAGATAGAAAAATCTAAATAAATAGGTTGATATAGAATTTGACCGAAATCTGGAAATTGGATGAACTCAAGCAATCGACGACAGACACGCGGCCGCCGGAATGGGAGGACACGCAGCGAGCAACTGATGGAAAGATGCATCTGGCGCCTCCACTGACACGCATCAAATGGTTGACCCAAAACTTGACTCGCACTCCATAAAGAAACCCAACGACCTGTGGTCCAACCCAAAACCTACCGCCAGTCCTTGTACGACATGTGTCACGCCCAAAAAATTCGAGGGGGTAAGTCTACGTCCACTGGGGCTCGAATCGCACCTCTGCCCGCGCATTGCCTGCGTTGACCGGCGTACGCCCTGCGCATGGAGCCCACGCATGGGGAAGTGTGCAGGCGCGTGGGAGTCCCCTGTGAGTGCGTTTAGGCATGTGAGCACCCTGTTTTCACCCGTTTTTTTCGTCCCGATTCTAGTGCTAATCCTATTTTACTGTGAACTAGGTCTCTATATAGATAATTCGTAATTTTTGGACTCCGTTACGACTGTAATCAAGCTTGGGAAGGCACACGACATACTTGTAAGTAACCACACGGATTTAGGAAGTAATACTTGTAGGGTGCCCTTGGTTTTGCATGCATACTAGAGCAAATTACCCGTAGGTGGCTAGATCTAATGATTCTTTGTACTTACGGAGTTAAATATATATCTGTTAGACTTGTTGCCTTTATGAGATTTCGTACTCAATATTTGTATGCTTGTTGGACTATCTTTCTACTGCTTTTATCTGTTCATACTATGTTAGAGGATTTGTGTATCTGCGCTTCGGGTGTTGATAGATGATATTGCCCCGTTGAGCTTGTATGGCTTTACGTGTTGTTATTCTTACATAAACTCCTATTGAATAATTGTGTGAACTTATGATAAGATTGATAAGTTTTAGTGTTGTGTTTTACCTCTGGTGAACTCTTGTAGGAATCGAGTTGGGTTTGGATAGGAAACCCTCCTGATGTTATGGTCCATGGTGTCGTGAGCGACGCTTAGAGGGAGAGACGCTTTAACCCTGGACTGTTATGGACTTGTAAGTCTTGATTGAGTGATTCTGGAAACTAGGGCTCCTAACTCAATAATCTACCTACCCTTGAGACATAGAGAACCACGTTAAGACCCTGAGGTGTAGAGAGATGACCTCTTAGCCGACCGTAGCTGGTATAGCGTTCGAGTATACTCCACTTCCCTTCCTACTTTGTTGTGGTATTGTTGAGCTAGGTGAGACGCCAGTTAGGGAGGTGTTACTCTTCCCTTCCTATTCTAGTGTGGTACTGTTGAGCTTGGCGAGACGCCTGTTAGAGAAATGTTACTCAGTGGTAGATCGACTACTCTGCATGGGGATCCGTCTTATGGTTAGATGTTTATCACGCGGGTGGTCAAGGTCGCCTGCATGATGAGTTCCGTCCTGTGGAAGGAAGTTGACCATGCAGTGACTAATTCTAGCTGGGTTGTCAAGGGGTACATATAGTTATGAGGGAGCACTGCATCCTCAAACGTTGAATACTGCTTCAAAGGTTAAGTCCTTCCACCCCGATCTGTGTACTGAGAGTATTGAGACTCTAGAGTCTAGACCATAGTTGGTGGTTCTCTCTTAAACTTGGATGCGATTAAGAGCCTACAAGTAGGTTGCTTACTGAGTATATTTTTGTACTCACCCTGTTTCCCTCTTTTTTTTCTTTCAGGTCCATGAATTTACACTTCGTGGCGAAGGGGGTGTTCGGGAGCTTGAAAGTCATAGAGGAATTGTGGTCCCACGATGCTGTCTAGTTTACTTATGTGTACTTGACATTTATTTCATCATGTACCCCGATCCCCTTTTCCCCATTTTATACAATGTTTCTCTTTCCTACTTGAACACTTTGAAACTCGCAAAGAAATTTTATGCTTGAAATTTTTTTGCATTTTATTTTTCTTCTACTTTAATGCATTCCATAGTCTGTCGAGTTACTCCTTGTAATTTCGATGGGTCGCAATTCTGGGTGGTAACACTTTTCTTCCTATAAAAACAAAAAAAAAAAAATAATAAATAAAAAAGGTTTAAGCAAATTTAGCTCTATCAAAAAAAAAAATAAATAAATAAACAAACAGATTGTGATTTAGTTTACTATATGCCATTTTAAGAGGTCAAGAGTTTTCCTTTTATTTCATGGAATGATATTAATTTGGTTACAATTAATTAATTTATTTTATTGATCTATATCTAAAAATGTTAAAAGTATTAAATGGTTTGTATGAAGATGACCGTAAGAAACATATATAAATATTTCTAGACTTAACTTATGCAAAGACTCTAATGTTCGTATGAAGTATAACACATGAACCAATGTAAATTAGATAAATAATTTTGTAGAAATTCGAACTTGAAACTGATGTCATAGTTTCACATAGGTTGATTTGGATTTCAATGGAAAGAATCGAATTTTCATTAAGGATAAATTCGTGACATCAAATCTAATCACGTAAGTCGCTTTACTATCAGCATGATTATATTTGATGTTAACACGTGTCATGTGGTTCTGCACGTGTCATATATATTGATATGTGCAAATTGTTTATGGATCTATATGCTTATGATTTGATATATATATATATATATATATATATAACACCCGAAGAAATAGAAATAGAAATAGAAATAGAAAAAGAAAAAGAAAAGGGAAAAAAATATATATATATATCTATATATATATATATATATATAACACCCGAAGAAATAGAAATAGAAATAGAAATAGAAAAAGAAAAAGAAAAGGGAAAAAAAAATATATATATATCTATATATAGGAAAAGTCAAGAGAGGGGCAAATAGGTAAGTTTGCCCCTCCAATCACTCACGGGTCCAAATAAAACCCTATCAAGAGTCCTGCAAAAGAGAAATAGTGAGAGAAACTGGTTAGAGAGAATCTAGAGTGAGGAGGAAGAATGAACCGCCGGAAGACTCACCGAAAACTACCGTCGGAGTCTATTCCGGTCAAGATCATGATGCAAGGAGCCTTTCTTGGAAGGGAAAAGAGAATGTGGGTGGCCGGAGTCCCATTTTCCATCAAGAAATTAGAAAAATTCACGAGGTAAGATCTTGAACTTTTTCTCATATCTACAGTTTTCCTTTGTGAATCAAGATCTAAAATCTTGATATATTCATCTAGGAACAACTCTCTATAGGATCTTTGAAGAAGTTTGGCTGAAACCTCTATCCAAAGGCAGAAACCCGAGAATCGTCCAAGAACGGAGAGAAGAAATTTTGATAGCCACGTCTCGACGGCCGGCGGCGAAACGCGACTGGGCAGGCAGGGGACACGTGCTAAGCGTCGGCCGGAGCTACGCAGCTCTGGTGAGACGACAACACGTGTCGCCTTCAAGCCCAAACAAGCTGCGGCCCACACGAGCAAACTGACTTGCTGACTCACCGACCCGAACCGGGGCGCCTGGAATATGACTACGTAGAGTAGACCTTCTCCCGGCGTGAGAGGATGTGTGGCAGCGTGTGGGAGCACATGAGGTTTAGTTTTGGCCCGTCTGACTTTTGTCTACCTGATTTTCATCCCGATTTCGATTCTAATCAGGTTTTTATGTGAATAGGGACCTAATTTAAGGAAATCAGTATTTTTGGACACCTCACGGGCAAAGAAACGTTAACGAAAAGGCATGCGTCAACCAGGTAAGTCACCACCCGATATTTAGGAAGAAATACTTGTAGGATTCACCTGGATTGCGTGCATGCTAGTACCTTTGCCTTAGATTATCTCTCCATGAATGAGATTAGTCAGATTGATTGTTATGAGTGTATTGTGTGAATTATCTGAGTGTTGCTTGTATGCTTTAAGCTTCCGCCGTACATATGCATGTGTTTAATTTATGTTGGAATTGTGTATTCCACGTTCCGAGGTCTTGATGGATGGGTTCGCCCCATTGAGCGCGAACTTCGTGTTCTAAGTGCTTGATGGAGGTCATCGCCCCATTGAGCCGGCATGCCTAGTTTGCATGAATTATATATTATGATGTTAGAAGACGGTTGCATGCACACTCGATTCTTTTCTAGGACCCATTTCTATGATAAGCCTAGGGAATTGCTGTTAGGAGCGATAAGTCGCCCTAGCCAGACTTAACCTTCCCCTAGGAACTTAGCGGATTATCACGACAACAAGGTGTTGAGTTTTATGTCCTAAAACTCATAGTTTGTAAAAAAAAAACATATTCTATTTTCAATAAAGTTATTATTGTTGTTTATTTAGTAAAGATTGTTATTGAATAAAGTGAACTTTACGATCATTAATCTAAATTCAATAAACTAAGAACACTCTAGCTATAGTATGATTACTTGAACTATATGTAGAGACATAAGAGTTGATCAAGTTCAAGTATATAGTCAAAATGATCTATAGTATAAGGATAAGGCTAAGTACCTTATTCTAGGGACACTATGGATGCGACCCATTTTTGTATGTGATATAAACAATGTGATCACTAAAATTGTACATGTAGAGACATGTGAGTGGGGGAGTATTGCATAAGATCGGACCATGAAGAAAATCACCCTCACTTTATAATGTCATTTACTGTTGAGACTAATTTTATTTTCATTCGATGACCTAGGTAACTCGATCTTAATCCTGAGCTAACCATGATCTCCTATTTTATTCGGAATTATCCTTATATTTGCATCGGTGAGAGTGGCTCAAGTTTGCCGACTCAATAGGCCTCCCATTTCAGGGGTAAGACTGGGTAAATGGCTGGGGACGTGGGGTGCAAGATAGGATTCACTCCTACCCACTTTTAGGGATAGAAGAGTGGTAGTTCTTAAGTACTAATTCCAGGTCTTGAACAAGCAGCCCCACCCTCTCATTGGCCTGAGAGGGATTCGGTTTACTGGTTGGACCACAAACCAATTGTTCATTAGAGGATCAGTGAGACATAAGAAACAAGAAGTAACTTCAGAGGTAAAACGGTAAATTAACCCAGCTCTAGTTACGAACAACCTGTGAAGGATCGACTTACTAATTATGGTTATATCAAATGGACAGAAATATATCTATAGTGAGGGGAGTGCAACTACTAGGCTATAGTAGAATGTCCTAGTAGTTAACGAATGTTGGTTAACCAGGTTAATGAGTTTAACTGGTTAATCTTGGATCGTTGGAGCCCATGATCTATAGGTCCATTAGGTCCCTCCGCTAGCTCATATCGGACTAAACCATCGAATGAGTGAGTTCGAAGCGTTCGAATTCAAATTAGGGAGAATGCACTACATATATACGATATATTTAACTGCATTTTTGTTTTATTTACGAATTAAACAAAAAGAGAGAAGATTTAAATATCTTAATCAAATATGTGTTAGAATTAATTGGGATTGACATTTAAATTAATATTAAATATTAATTAAATAGTTTAATTAATCATTTAATATTACTTTAATTTGAAATTAATAATTCAAATTGATTGTTGAATCCAAATGAAGAAAGTCAAAATGTTGACTTCATTTAATGAAAAAATCCATGTTAGTGGAATTTTGAGGTGTCAAAATTTGGTTTAACCAAACTTGCATGCTTGCCAAATAAACCTCACAAATTTGAACGGAATTTTGAGTGTCAAAATTTAGTTAACTCAAGCATGCATGCTTGCCACATAATCCCAAACATTTGAGTGAAATTTTGAGTGCCAAAATTTGGTGATCTCAAATTTGCATGAACATGCAAACATGACTCTATAAATAGAGTGATCATAATACATGAAAGGTCTTCTTCTTGGTGAAAAACTTTGAGAAAAACCTCTCACAAGCACTCTCTTCATATATACAAAATCCCTCCCCACTCACCGGATTCCAGAATCCTGTTCTAAGACCGGAGGATAGTGGAGAAGACACTAATGGTGGTTCTAAACCGGTTCATGAGGAAAAAGGAATTTGAACTACAAAAGGTTAGTATTCAAACTCATTAAGTTTTAATACTTATGAACATGCTAGTTATTTACTATAATTGATGTTCTAAAAGTGCTTAAGATCCAAATTTCTTCCACATGTGTTATATTAACACCATCACAAGGTACCTCAGGAGTGTTCATAAATAGCTAATGTGAGAACGGTATCTATAGCTTCGTGGGAGGACCAAGGGTTCCTGACCAGTCCTTACTGCTCTTAAACATTTCGCATGGGAAATGTGTCCCCACGTCGTATAGCCCATTAGCTGCATGGGAGCGGGTTGGGTCGCGCCCCCCATAGGGAGACTATATGGGCTTAGGGGTATTCAGCACAAACTCTAGGCTAGATACCATGTAGTCCCAGAGAGCCATGTAGAGGTAGCGCCTCATAGAGAGATACCGACCATATCAGCTTGACGTAAGGAACCTCTAGGTGTCTAATGAAAGGACGATGAGCCGGTGAAACCCAAGGGGAAAGCTCCAAGAGACTAAGATTAGAACCAGATGTCCTAGAAGCGAATTAGGAGACCGTGGAAAACTTGTTAAGTTAGGATGCGAAGAGAGCCTACAAGTAGTTGGCTTACTGAGTATATTTTTTATATTCATTCCTTTCTACCTTTTTTGTCAGATGTCGGTCGAGGTGGAGGAGTGTTCGAGAGCTGTGCGGTCACAAAGGGGGTCGTTCCGGAGCGTCAGTCCATTTTCGATCTTTTGGAGTCTTTTGCAAATCGCTTTTATATTTGTATTGTATTTCCATTTTGTAAATCCTCTTTTGAAATATTTGAAAATTACACTCCGCTTTCTTCTATTTTAATTTTACTCGATTTTCATCATTTTATTTTACTTTTTTTATTTTCTTTTCTTTTTGTTTGTTTTCGATTTCGTCTTTTGGGTCACGGTCCGAGCTTCGAAGCCTCGAAAGTTGGTCGTGATAGATTGGTACCAATTTCATAGGTGAGTTTGGTTAAGTTGGAGGTCGAGAAATAAGAATCACCAACATTGAGAGTGAAGCTATGGAGGACATGGCTTCAAGGTCGGTTGGAATCTTCACGAGCTAAGTTTCAGTTATGGACTTTCAAAAGCATGATGTGCGCTTAATGCCATTAAGGAGATATGGGGTGCAAGATATTCCTATTGATGGATTACCTAATGAGAACAAGTCGCTTTGGACCTTGGTAGAGAGGACAAAGTCTAAATGCAACACGTGGTTATTAGAACCATAAAAAAAAAAAAAAAAAAAAAAAAAAAAAAAAAAAAAAAAAAAAAAAAAAAAAAAAAAAAAAAAAAAAAAAAAAAAAAAAAAAAAAAAAAAAAAAAAAAAAAAAAAAGTTCTTATCTATCCTTTGGTCAGGATAGGCATGCTCACAAAGTAAAGGATGTAGAACCATCAAGGTAGTCTGGTGAACCTCAGGGTCGAAAACAGCAGGAAAAGAGGTCAAGCTATGGTCACGCTATCGCTGTCTAGAGAGAGAAAGTCGAGATGCGTGTTAGTAAGAACCTACCCTTGTATAGGTCACTCGGATTACAAAGAGCAGGATTCTAGCTACACACATGAGTGTGACGTCGTACTTGTGAAGCATGCTCAAACAGAGGTAGAACTCCTATAAAATGGGATGCTAAAGACCATCAGAGGGTAGTGAGATGGTGACTTGTAACCAGGTATGACTAGCAGATACATGATACATCTTAGAGAAGACACTGACATAGCATCCTCAAAGTTTGAGGGAGGCTAGCTACCAAACAAGAGTCTTCAGAGAGTTCCCTAGAATACGCTACAAGAACTTGAAAGGTTCATGTGCTCGAAAAAGCCAGTGATGAGCAATCATTATGAGAGGAGACGTGACTAGCTCAATCATAAAGATACTGCATGAGTTAGCCTAGGTGAACGCAAAGGACACATGCAAGGATCCCTTACTTCCAAAAGAGCCTGTACGTAGCTCAAATCAGTATTAATACTCAAGCGAACTACGTGATGGAGCGTCTCGTATGAGGAAAGACCCGTGTTAACCAAATGAGATGAACTTACGAGCCCATTTTTGGTGAAGCAGTAAGGACCGTAAGGGTCTCAACAAGGTCAGGATACCTCCTATGAGGATCAAAGAGAGGGACATGTCGAGGACTGCCTTCCAGAGTCATGAGGAAGGTGAGTTTTGTTAGGTTATGGAGTATGTTGTTTATTTATAGCCGAGTCAACGGTTATACATAGTAAAGCTATATTTGGTAAATGACATATACAGTAAATTGTCATAAATAGTAAATAGCTATGTATAGTAAAAAGCTATATATGGTAAATAGTTATATATAGTAGAAGGTTATATCTGGTAAAGCTAAATATAATAAGTTAAACCATATATATATCCCCTCGGGCAGAGCTTTGAAAATGTACTTTTTGTATTCTCTGTATTCTCTCTTACTGTACATACTTGAAGTCATCAATATAAATTCTTTAGTTAGAGTTCTCCTTGCATTTTCTCTATCATGATCTTTGTGTTCATCTAGATCGAGTGTGTACGTTGTTGTGCGATCCCAACAACTGGTATCAGAGCTAGGCAGAAGTCACCACGATCTATGAAGATGGAAAGTTCAAAGATTGGAATTGAGAAGTTCGATGGATCCGATTTCGGTTTCTGGAAAATGCAGATTGAAGATTATCTATATCAGAAAGGTCTTCACGAACCCTTGTTGGGGGTGATGCCAAATACCATGACCACGGAGCAGTGGAAGCTCAAGGATCGACAAGCCTTAGGGCTAATCTGGTTGACGCTATCTAGAAACGTGGTGTTAAATATTATCAAGGAGAAGACAACATCAGATCTGTTGAAGGCGCTGTCGAATATGTACGAAAAACCGTCGGCTATGAACAAGATGTATTTGATATGGAGATTGTTCAATCTACAGATGTCTGAAGGTGGATCTGTTGTTGATCATATAAATGAATTCAATATGATTGTAAGTCAACTGAGTTCGGTGAAAATTAATTTCGAGGATGAAATTAAAACATTGATTTTGATGTCATCTTTACCCAAGTCGTGGGATACTGTTGTTGCCGCAATCAGCAGTTCACGAGGATCTGTAAACTGAAGTTTGATGAAATTCGAGATGTAGTTCTCAGCAAAAGTACTCGCAAATGAGAAATTGGAAATTCATCTGGTAGTGCTCTCAGTGTTGACCAACGGGGAAGAAGTAAACCGAAGGGCCCAAACAAAGGGCGATCAAAATCAAAGAACCGAGAAAAATCTCCAAATAGAACAAACGTAACGTGTTGGAATTGTGGAGAAAAAGGTCACTTTCGGACAGGTTGTACAAGACCAAAGAGGAAGCAGAATCACAAATCTGGAGATGATGATGATTCTATAAATTCAGCAAAAGACATTGAGGATGCTCTAATCCTCAATGTGGACAGTTCGATTGAATTCTGGATTTTGGATTCAGGTGCATCTTTTCATTCGTCTCCAAATAAAGAGTTGTTCAGAATTTCAAGTCTGGAAATTTTGAGAAGGTGTATCTTGCGGACAACAAAGATTTGAAGATTAAAGTAAAAGAAGATGTCTGCATAAAAACTCTGGCAGGAAATCAGTGGACATTAAAGGATGTCAGATATATTCCTGGTCTAAAAAAGAACCTGATCTCTTATTGGTCAGTTGAACAATATAGGTTATGCAACAAAGTTAGGGAAGAGTTCGTGGAAGATTATGAAGGGTGTTACGGTGGTAGCACGTGGCTCAAGATATGGAACCTTATACACCATTGCAGGGTGTCTGAACATAGCTGCTGTTGCTGAGAGTGCTTCAAATTCAAGTCTATGGCACAATAGACTTGGACATATGAGCATGAAAGAAATGAAGACGCTGGCCGCGAAAGGAGTTTTAGAAGGTCTGAAATCTGTTGATGTGGGTCGTTGTGAGAACTACGTTATGGGCAAACAGAAACGAGTTAACTTCACAAGGACCGCCAGAGAATTGAAGAAAGTGCTGTTGGAAATGGAACCATATGTGGAGCAAGGTTCGACGAAGCAAGTGGGAGTTGAGCTTGAGTTGTAGGAAAACTCACTTAGTGATGTTGTAGCAAATACTCATGAAACTCCTAAGACTACTGCTGAGGAACCAGATGTGGAGCATGGTTCCAAGACAACAAAGCAAGTGGGAGTTAAGCTTGAGTTGCAAGAAAACTCCCCTAGTGATGCTGTAGCAGATACTCATGAAACTCCTGAGACTACTGCTGAGGAACCAGATGTGGAGCAAGGTTCCAAGACCACGAAGCAAGTGGTAGTTGAGCTTGAGTTGCAGGGAAACTCACCTAGTGATGTTGTAGCAGATACTCAAGAAACTCCTGAGACTATTGCTGAGGAACCAGATGTGGAGCAAGGTTCCAAGACAAAAAAACAAGTGGGAGTTGAGGTTGAGTTGCGGAGAAAATCACCTAGTGATCTTGTAGCAGATGCTTAACAAACTCTTGAGGTTGTTGCAGAGGAACTAGCAGTAGAGCAAGTGACACCTGAACTGGTGTTGAGAAGAGTACCAGATATGTATGTACCTTCATTACACTATCTGTTGCTGATGAAAGGGAACCACAACCCTTTGAGGAGGCCCTACAGTTGGAGTATACAACCAAGTGGGAGCAAGCCATGGATGATGGGACGTCTAGGCTTAAAAAATGCGTTGTACTGAGGCTGAGTACGTGGCAATAGCTGAAGCTGGAAAGAAGATGATACGGATGACTGACTATTATGAAGAATTGGGAAAGAAGCAGCATGAAGAGATTCTTTATAGAGATAGTCAGAGTGTCATACAGTTGGCGAGGAACCCGGTCTATCATTTAAAGATAAAATAAAAAAGGCAATACCATTTCACTTGCAGGTTAGTGGAGGATGGTGATGTGTTTTGAGAAGATAGAGGGTGCAAAGAATCAAGCAAACATGTTGACAAAATTTGTTGATGTTGGAATATTGAGGTTGTGCCAAACCTCAATTGGTATGGTGCAGTGAAGATATTCATGATCGTTTGAGAATGAAATTCTTGGTTGACTGGATCAGTCTCCAAGTGGGAGAATTGTTAGGTTATGGAGCCTACTGCTTATTTATAGCTGAGTCAACGGTTATACATAGTAAAACTATATTTGGTAAATGACATATAAAGTAAATTGTCATAAATAGTAAATAGCTATGTATAGTAAAAAGCTATATCGAGTAAAGCTATTTATGGTAAATAGTTATATATAGTAGATAGTTATATCTGGTAAAGCTAAATATAGTAAGCTAAATCATATATATATCCCCTCAGGCAGAGCTTTGAAAATGTATTTTCTGTATTCTCTGTATTCTCTCTTACTGTACATACTTGAAGTCATCAAAACATGAATTCTTTAGCAAGAGTTCTCCTTGCATTTTCTCTATCCTATTTGTTTGTGTTCATCTAGATCGAGTGTGTGCATTGTTGTGCGATCCCAACAGATTTTTTTTAGCTTTAACGGATGTTAGGTATATGGTAAGTCAGACGAGATCCTACAGTTCACTTTTCTTTGTACCTTTCTGATATGAACCAAGAGACATCAATCATACAAGATGCTTCAATGAAGATGTGAAGAAAATATTGTTGAAATTATAAATTTTGGGTAGATTACAATTTAGAGTAATTTAGAGTTATTGTATTTCATTTATGTATTTTAAGACTTTTTATTTACTATAGGTTACAATTACATAATGGTTAATTATGGCCATTATGAATGTTACAACTCTTGGAATGCCTTTAATAGTTTCATTT